ACCCCCCCCCACCAGTTTTCTGCCTCTTTCTTGCCATTTTCCTCCGCCCCCCGGCGGGGGGGAGGGGCGGCCACATGGCGCTTTAGTTGCCGGCGGCAGCCGAAACCAAAACAGAATAAATAATCAAATTGGACAGTAGTCACTAGTGAGAAGGTTGCATCCAAAGCGAAAGCAATGTATCAGTCAACGGAAGGAAGAAGAGGGAGGAGATGACATTTTTGGCCGGAGGAGAGTGGAGGTTCTTCCATTACTTCTTTCCTCTTGCGGCAGACTTATCTTTGATCCTGTGGTGTAAAGCACTTTGTTCTTCTTCCTTTCCTGCTGCGAAAGACGATTTGAAGTTTGTGTGTCTTGGCAGAGAACTCCTTTCTGAATCGCTTGTATTTTGGGACTTCAGTTCTAGCGCTTGAACATTTCATCTCTGGAACAGTAAGTATCACCTTTAAAGCTGTGCTGTATGAAAACCACACCGTCTGGTCTGCAGGTGTCCTTTGGTAATGCTTTTCAGTGTCAGGTGACTTGCTTTTTGCATTAGTCTCTCTTTTTTTTTCTTCCCCCTGAACATTTCTCTGAGCTGTTTTTCTGGCCTTAATATTTCAGCACAAATCGGGGACAGAGCGAACTAAATATGGACAGGGAATACATTTTGCTTTTAGCCAGTGCCATTAGATTATATTAGAAGTTAACTTTCCAGAGGAGTTATTGTGAAGTTGTCTGATGCAATGAGATTGGCTACAAACTTCATCTGTGCTGAGATGCAGAAAATACCTGAGCTGCGTATTGCTGGTGTAGCTTCTACCAGCTGTCTGGGGTGCATACAGGTGCTTCCTTGCATTAATTAATACCAGTGTTTGTGAGGAGTGTTAATGCTTTCTCTCGAGTTCTTCCCCAGCACTGCTGACTTAGTTTCCTTACCTTACCCGATCTTTAACTTCTCTCGTTGCTCTTTTTCATTTACCTCCAAAGCCTTTGAGCTCACCCCCTGGCACTGATGCTCTGCAAGGCTGCACTGCTGTGTCGTAAGGTCACTGTCACGGGCTGAACGAGCTCCACCATCAGCTGGTTGCCATCTGGGTTTTGTTTGCTGGTGCTGCTTTCAGTTTAGAAAGCGCTCCTAGAGTTTCATTTCCCCTTTCCGATCTAAATATATTCAAACTTATCTGTTCAAACACCATATTGTCTTTTAGCTTAAAAAGCTCTTTTTTTCCCAGCTGTAAACACTCCGGATGATTTATCTGCAAGGAAGTACATCTCTCTGTTTTGGTGGGGTTTTTTTAAACTTCAATTTGATAAAGTGTCTGTACTTGGGTTTCTATTTCACTTGGTTTTACTTGAGAGCTGGACTAGGTTGGGAGGATACACAGTATTCCAGGCAGGGTCTTGTACAGCAGTGTGGGTGCTGACTTACCTTCAGTGGTGTCTCACCTGGGCTGTGCGAGGGTTGCCTTTGCCTGGCGCTGTCACGCTGCCGGGTCCCGCCATTTCAGGACTGACTGGTATTGCCAGGTCGTTTTCTCTCCTGTTGCTGTTTCCACCTGGTGACTTTTCATTTCATACCAGAAATTGTCCATGGTTCCATCCCAAGGTGTGCTGGGGTGCAGACTGCAGAAGCCATGTCCACCTCCAACCACGAGGTGTATTTTTATTTTTAATGTGGAGTGTCCAGACGTACCAGATTTGCAGTAACCAGATTAGGGATCTGGACTGGCAGCCAGAGTGTTTCTCTCATTGTGTGTGATGTGATTAGAGGGGAGATGTGACAATGTAAAACTCGTGGAAATGAAATTGGATTGCCTGGGGCTACTGCAGACCTTTGCTTGGTAATAGGTCTTGTACTACCTAACATAATTTCTTTGTTAAACATGTTCCCAATAAAATGTGTAACTGTCAATTAAGAGAAATACTGTGATCTGATCTTTTAGTATATGCAATTTAAAATGGGGCTTGAGATACTTTTGCGTCTTGTATGACTGCAATTGAGAAGAGACTTGGGTTTTTTCCTCTTACAGATAAGAAATGTTTCTTTCTGCTGTGCACTTGTCCCCATGTGCTACCTCAATCAGATTAGGTTGCCTTTCTGGCAAGAATGTTTAGGCTGGTGCAGCAATATGATGATGTAAAGCTCAGAGCGACACACCTCCTTTAAATTGTCCTGCTGGCTTTGCTGTGTTCTCTGTGGTCAGATTGCAGAACCGTGAGGATGCTCCAGAGGTTTATTCAGAAGCAGTGGTTCTCAGTGGCTTAGAGTATTTTCTCTTGCAGTAGAGAAACCGTATTCTGTTTAGAAAATTGCTTCTTATTATATTCTTTTATGTTTTTCAGGGTCCCACTTTTCTACGTGCCTTTTTGAATATCTCTGTTGTAAAGATGTCTCACGATCACCTGATGAACAACTCCATGTCGTCAGCCACGCATCCTCCTGAACATCACCATTCAACGGCAGCCCTGGGACATGATCATGGATCTGGCATGACGATGATGGTAAGTGGAAATGTCACGGTTAACCAGAGAGCTTTTCCTTGCCTGGGGTTCAGAGTAACTTATCATCTTAATGACTATGCTTCTGAGAATCGGAAATTAAACTTAGCATTGGAAGGCATGAATCAGTCCAGTGAAAACACAGACCCCAGTGTGGCTCTTCTGGAATGAAGGAATCATCAGGTGATATGCAACATGAAATGTGTTTCAGAGCTGGAGATCCTTTGGCAAAATGGTCTTTTCTTCCAAAAACCTTTCCAGCAGCCAGCCTGGTGTCTGCTCTCTAGCCAGCTAGAGGCAGAAATGCAAAGTAAGCATTTTCCTGCAAGAAACGGGAGGTGGATGGAGTTCTCCAGGCTGGTAGTGGTAGCAAAAGCCTAAACCGGCACCGAGAGGATTGCACACTAGTACAGTGGATTGTGCTGACCTGCAGGTGACCGGCCTCTGTGTCCTTTTCCTCCTGAACTTCAAGTATGCACTCGATTTAGGGAGCAAGATGGTACCAGGGCTCTTTGCCACGTTGGCGTTAAGGCTGTGTTAGTCCTGTCCTGCTGCTGTAGCTGACTTTGGTTTAAACAAGTTGAGACTTGTGCATGCGGGCATCAATGAAGCTTTGCAGAGATCCTGGCCAGAGCTTCCATGGAGATGACCGTAGGATCTGTGTTTGTGTGTAGCGAGTTCTAGGGACTTTTTCTGCTTTTTCTCCCTTTTCTAAATTCTTTTAGAGTGAGTTTCAGATTATTAAAACATGACTCTTTATGGTTAAACTTTGAAAGGAGGGCAGAGAGCGTGCATTTGCATTTCAAATGAGAATATACTCAGGAGTGTATTTTGCAAGCCTTCAGTTACAGTTTGCCTGCCAGCTATGCACCCCGAAGAAGGAATCCAGAATCACTGCTGCTACTTATATTGTGAACAGTAGCACAGCAGGAGAAGGGAGACTTAGAACAGCCTTCCCCGTTGTGAACATGGCCCGGTACAAAGCCCAGTGGTGCTGGTGGAACTTGCAGTCCAGCATTGTCACTGATATCCTTGTGAAGCTCTTCATATAATCTAAAAGCTAAGTCCTGGCATTCTCTGATGGGTTACTCTCCATATAGATGCCGTTTCGTTGAACATGTCAAGTGCTCTTATCCTCAGTGGGTAGTTACAGGACCCTGCCTTATCCGGCAGCTGAAAACTGTGATTAGTTGCACAAGATTTTGAATTAACGTTGCACATAGAACTGTCAGGGAAGGAAGTAAATGGGTACAGCATCTTAGATAATAGACTGACAGTGTTTTAACGTGTGCATCTTCCCGTGCTTCCCTTGCACCAAGTAACAGGCTCTGTTTCAGCTGAGGTTGTGGAACTAGCTGTAACGCTCTCTGGTTCGTGCGGTTTTTGTTTTAAATGTCAAAATGCGAAACTCATTAAAGAAACGGAAGTACTCTCTAGAAGAAGTTTTGTAGTAATTTCTGCTCTGGGGATAATGAATGTCTGCTGATTCTTCTGGATGCTGAAATTAATCATAATTCTGATCTTCAGCAAACAACCTTAATTAAGTAATGAGAGGAGTTCAAAGAGAGGTTCCTCTAGCTTAGCGAGTACTTTACATGTAAAAGCACTGTATGCAGCTGTGGTCAACACATGCTAAACTGCAATGCGTTTACCTGGATGGAAGATTATATGAATTGCAGCTGACCAGGGGATCACTGATTCCCACAGCATTCACTGTGCAGGTTCAGGAGCCTTTTTTTTCACCCAGCGGAAGCTGTGGTCTTGCTTTACGCATAATGCTCCTTGTTGTACCTGTATTTAGGCCTCCCTTTCCCATAGGGTATTAGGAGGTTCTGTAGGGAGACAGTACTCTGCTGGCACGGTGCAGGATGGGACCAGACGATTCGGCTATAGAAGCCCTTCTCTGTATGAGCTCATCTGAGGTCAAGGTGGGGAGAAGAAAGTGCCCTGTACCCAGCTCGTGAGTAGTCCTGAGGAGGCAAGGATGAACTCAACAGAGACATCCCCAATCCCTGGCTACCTCTGATGCTGAGGAGAAAAGCAGCTCCAAAACCAAGAGGAAGGCATGTTTCTTTAGCAGGTACTGCTACAGGGGCACTGCCGGAAAGAGCTGCCCACTAGAACTGGAACCTGGAGCGTCTGTAGCCGTGTCTCGCTTGTGTGTGTTACGCTACATGTACTGAAGAGTTTCTTAAAGTCTATCTGGCGACCAACTGAAATGATCTAAGTTTTTGTCATAGTACAAAACCCATTGCTAAATTTTCTTGAGAGCTCCATCTCGGGGTGAGCTACGCAGGCTCATCTTGATCTTCTTTATGTTTTGGGCAGGCAATGACCTTCTACTTCAGCTATGAGAATGTGCCACTGCTGTTTTCTGGACTTACAATCAATACTCCTGGAGGTTAGTAGAACTGTCTTGTCCAGTCCAAACAAAAAGTTTGCAACTGATGAATGTTTCAGGCATTACCTTGCTATTTATGCCAAAAATATGCAGGCACATTGTGTTGAGTCTGGTTTAAATTACATCTGTGAAAGAAAAACGAAGATGTTCGTATAGCTCGAGAATTTGACTGGTCTTACTAGCAAAAGTGATTGCTGGTTTCACTTCATGGGCGAAATTCCAATTCGTGTATGGCTTAAATTCACCTGTACGTCTGTACATGCGTGTATGCAGTGCCCAGCCATAGCCTGTGCAGTGTGACATGGTTGTTGAATCATACGGTGCATCTTCTGACGTGTTTTGAAGCAAACGTCTTTTGTAATGTTTCCTCTTTTGTCAGAAATGGCTGGTGCTTTTGTGGCTGTCTTCTTCCTGGCCATGTTCTATGAAGGCCTTAAGATTGCCCGCGAGTGTCTGCTCCGTAAATCCCAAGTCAGCATTCGCTACAACTCCATGCCATTGCCAGGTCCCAACGGCACTATCTTGATGGAGACACACAAAACTGTTGGGTAAGAATTTCACTTCAGTCTAAGACAAATTTATTCAGCAGCTGACAAAGGTGAAAACTGAGACAGAAAAAACGTTATGCAGCCAGTATTACTGTCTGCAAAGTATATTGACTCCAGACTGAGACACTGCTTGACACTGGAGGACACTGTGCTTGAGTCACTTGGCTGCCCTGTAGAATGAGGGACAAAAGGAGGAAAGCAGCAAGGAGTCAGATAAGCTTGGTTTTTTCCCAGACCAGTAATGAGCACATTTGGAGAGTTCCCAGGAACAGAATTTGGGTGTTACAGCCAGAGAAGCTGACAGAAAATACTTAGGATCCTTCTGTTGACAGGTAGTCAAAGCCTCTACTCAGAGAAGAAGCCGTTCTGCTTATTGAACGTGCGGATAAAATCAGCTTGTAGAAGTCTGTTTCTCAGCTAAAAGTTCTGTCCTCCCAGAAAGTACCGTGCTTGCTTTGTTCAGCCCACTCTCTGGAGAGAACCGCAGTTACAAGTGGCAGACGCATGCAGAAGTCCATGTCCAGCCTGCTCTGTTACCTTCTCTGCCATTCCCTGCCCGCCTTGGCAGCTGTCAGTGTAAGAGCTGCCTTTTCTCCTTGGGGATGTGCATTATGCCCTCTGTGTCTCATGGGTGCTGACTCTCCTCTGGGTTTTGTGTTCTCAGACAGCAGATGCTGAGCTTCCCTCACCTCCTGCAGACTGTGCTGCACATCATTCAAGTCATGGTCAGTTACTTCCTGATGCTGATCTTCATGACGTACAACGGATACCTCTGCATAGCGGTGGCGGCAGGGGCAGGGACGGGCTATTTCTTCTTCAGCTGGAAAAAGGCAGTTGTTGTGGATATCACGGAGCACTGCCATTAACACTGGATGCCTCCCAGAAGCCTCTCCACCCTGCTGCTCTCTTGAAATGCAGCCGGCACGAGGACTGGACCATTCCTAAGCTGAAAGAGAAACAATATAGAGAAAATCAACTGGAGCTCACCGCAAGTTCCTAGCTGGGGTGTAGGGATGTGAGGAGCTGGGGTGTGCTGCTCCCCCTTGCTGCAGGCTGGCAGCAGGGTTGACTCTTGAGGGTCCCATGGTAGCCATTTTTGGCTAGGATTTGCTTTATTCTTAGATTATGCCGTGATTGAAATTAGCTGGCTGACAGAAATGTAGACGTTATTCTTTTAAAAAACAAACAAAACATTTTATTTTTAAATTGTAAATGCTCATCTGTGAGGGTTTTATGAACAGTAGGTAAGGATCAAAGTTGCCAATGGAGCCTATGTGTGCGAATGGCTATTTTAATTTTTTTTTTTTCAATATGTGCATAATGCCAGGGGAGGAGATCTCCCAGGCATTGTGGCTTTTGGGGCCAATGATGCCTTCTGTTGCAGAAGGACTCAGCCTCTGAGGAAGACTTGGTGCTGCACATCAGACACGCTCAGGTGCGTCCTGGCAAGGGAGTACGTTGCCATCAGCATGTGACCCGTGTGCTGCAGGGGGTCCAGATGAGTCTGTCCTCCAAGCCCCTCAGAGCACGATGAGCGGTGTTTGTCTCCTGATGTATCCAGCAGCTTTACTCTGCCTCAAGTGCTAATGTCTGCGTTTGGCTGCTTTCACTTCCCACCGTGTAGACACAGGACAACAATTGTGTATTCACAGGGTAAAAAGATTTTAAATTAACCATTGGACCCACATTTACTTCATGTTGAATTGCACGTGGATAGATCTAGAGCTGGACTTGTGGTTTACTAAAACTAGTTCTGTAAATGAGGCAAGAGCTAAATAATGATTTCACGACACTAAAGGTTAAAATGTCTGAAGATGGCATTCCTTGATTGAGATGAAGGAAATAAAACAACTGTATTCTTGTAAAGGAGAGATCTGGGGAAGAGAAGAAAGAAATTACAGGACTACAGCTGCCTTCAGTCTCTGCTCAGGCAAAATTTGGAGCAGCTTGGGCTATTGAAAAAGTATTCCTGAGCCGGATGACTCCTCTTTGTCTTAATAATCGTGCTGTGACCTTGTTGGCTTGGAGGTGCAAGATTTATCAGTGGGGTACAAGTGTTGTAGCACAGCAAAGAACTTCCCGTTCAGTGCTGTGAGCTCTACACGTGTCACAGGCAGGGCAGGCTGTGACGCAGGCAGCACCAGCTTCCGGCGTGCGCGATGCCCAGAACATGCTTTGGGGCTTCTGGAGATCAGTTTTGGTTTAGCACTTCGTTACTACACTGCTTCTTGTTGCGGGGAATGTTGAGCAGAGTATGGTGCAAAGCCGGAGCCTCCATTCTGCCCAGGATGCCCAATTTGTGCCAGTAACTGGCTGAAAGGGGAGACGGTGGGATGTTCACCAGGGCACTGGAAAACAGGCACCACGTTCAGACCGGGACCGACGTCTGGAGTGCGCCGTGAGAACAGGGAATCCTCCTGAGACGGAAGTGTCTGCGCATGTGCAGTAGCGTTTGCTTTGCTCCGAGGCTGCTACTAGTCGCAGTGTTAGCGATAGCTGTGTAAGGAAGGCTGAGCTTTGTGAGGAGGAATTACATTTCTTTAGCCCGTAAGCCTTACAGGGCGAGGCCCATCCCTGCGCCTGTGGGCTCCTCGCTGTGCCCGTGCTACCCCATCAGCACAGAGCCCACCCTCGCCCTCCCACCCTCTTCGAATGGCAGTGGGGAAGCTGTTACTGCCACTACCGGGATCTTGAGCTGCACCACCTGAAGTCAGCTGGCCTGGCTATTTGTTCGGACATCTTGTTTTCTTTGGGCAGTGCAGATACAGAATACAAGGAGGTGAGTTAAAAGCAGGCCTGTGTTTCTAAAGAGCTGCTTTCTGTAGCAAATCTGCATCTGGGTAAGAGAAGCAAAGCTGCGTTCATGGAAAAATTCTAGCCGTGTCCTGATGAGAGACAGGAGAAGCTCTTCCCCGGTCTGGTTGTTGAAGGGAGTGACGTCTGTAACAGGCTGCAGCAGGACATACGGACGCCCTCTCTACATCTGTCACAAAGGTAAAAATCTTCTGTGCCCTCCAAGCAATCATGCCTCTCTGTGAGAGCGGAAAACGGTCCCTTCTGATCCCTGTGTGAGAGCTGTGAGGAAATCATAGTGTTTCTCAGAGTTGAAGCAGTGAAGCGCTGGAGATGGTTGGTTGCGTTCTGAAAGCTTTACGCTGTAGGGGCTTGGTCCCCGAAGGAGCTGAGAGTGACGTTGCCAACACCGCTCTGATCGGTTTCTCTTGAAGAGGACGGAATCGTTGCTGTTGCAGGGATGTCTGATCATAGGATATAGTCACGCGTGGCTTTGTGCGATGACACGTTACTTCATGTAACTCTTGCTGTGTATTTCTCTAAAATAGAACCTCTGCTTGGCCTGATCTTCGTGCTGTCACCTTCTAGCCACCTTTCCTGCTATTCGAGCGACCAGACTTGAATGCTCTGACTCAAGTGATCAGAGGTGGATGACTTGGAGATTAGGCAATAGCCGTGACTTTTACAATATAAATTTGGTTCTCTTGTTAGCTTTTCTGCCTCATTCTACGTGTAGCATCTGTGCCCTTGAAATGGTTTCCCCCCCGAGGATGAGTACCTCTGGCTTCAGAGGGTCATCTCCTGCCCACAGCTTGCTCCAGTGTGCAGAGAGGGAAGTGACACTGACCGGGCAGTGGTCACTGGGGAGCAGGAATCTGGGCAGAAGTCTCCCAAGGGTCTGGCGAGTGCCCCGGCCACCTTCCAGCAGCCCGTAAGAACAGTGGTTTGAGAACTCGAGTGAGAAACAGGTCTGAGGAAAGGGTGGTTAAGGAGAGGAGATGGAGGGCTGTGTCCTCTCTGCGTCTGAGCTCGCCGATACAGCGAGGCACAACTGAGGAGGGGATGTCTCTAGGCCAGCTTTGGCCGTGCTTTCTTTCTTTTGGTTCGATGTTGAGAACCCAGAGAAGCCACCGACGTCCCCGTGTGCCAGCCTCCCCCTGGTCCACCAGATCCTACCGGCTGCCGTGTTCTTGGCCCAGGTTGCCGTCTGCTATGCCAGAGTCTGAGCAAAACCTGGCCTCCCTACTGCTGGCTTCTGCTGACTGCTTTCGGTGCAGTCCCAGCCTTTCTGCTGGCTGTGCTTGAAGTTGTCCTGATAACACTAAACTCGCATTAAGTAGTGCTTGGAGGGAGGCGAGGGCTCCAATGAGACTTGAGTAAATCAAATTCCTATGTCAACAGACGTGTAGCATGCTTGGAATGCGATGTCCTGCGTCTCTTTGTACCCCGATGTTTGGTCTCCACACGCTGTGCCGCTGGATTCTCATCCTGGAAGAAGTGCATAAAGCATGCACGGTGTGTTCATCAGCTGGCTTTTGTTGTTCTTCTTCGAGTGCCTTTTTGGTTTGTCTGGAGCCAGTCCCGCCAAATCCAGCAGGATTTCTAGTTTTGTTTACAGTGGACTGTTATTTTTGGTTTTACTCTTGCTCTTTCTGGAGGTAACTTGCCTAATATTACTGTGAATATCAAGAATCTCCTGTATATAATTAACCAATAAAATAGTTTGCATTTTACCGTGGTGGAGGTGTGTTTTGGACACAGCCCTCAATGCAGAGACTGCAGCTGAAGCAGAGGCTGGCAGCTCTGCCTGCAGCATTGCGAGTGAGCAGCGGGGCCGAGCGCCCGTCTTCGGAGGGAGGAGGCTGGGGGTGGGAGTGAGGAGCAGCGTCCTCTGCGCCCGCCCCAGCCACGAGAGCAGTAATCCCCGATGCTGCTGGAAGGGGAACGTGGGAAGGCACCGATGTGCGAGTCGATGTTTGTGTTGGTCCAGTTACACTTTGCTGAGGTGGAAGGAAGAGCTGGTGCTTCCCAGATCCGCATTCCTCTGCAGAGGGAGGACTCGAAGGACAAGCATTTTAGGGAACTGTAGTGATGAGCCCCGGCGGTGCACGGAAGGTGTCCGTGTCCAATAAGGAACACCCATCTCCCTCACAGAGTTTTACTGTAGAATTGTATTCTTCCCTACAAGAGAACTGAGGGGCTGGCTTGGTTTTTGTTCCCCTGTGCAACCACAGTGTGTCTGGAACCACCTCAGATGTTTCCCTGTCGGACCTGGGACCTGCTGGCAATGCCTGAACAGCAGAGCAATCCCCGATAATTTTCTGTGGTGTGAGGCTGCAAAAGCAGCTCTGCTCTAGGCCAGACTGTGGCTCGTTCCACTCTGATGGACAGCTTGGAAAGCTTTAAGTTCTGTACATTTCCCCCTGACCTGAAATTTGATGAACTGACAACACACGAAGTTTGCACGAAGCAGCAAGTTTGCAGATGACACCAAGCTGAGTGGTGCAGTTGACACCCCTGAGGGACAGGATGATGTCCAGAGGGACCTGGGCAAGCTGGAGAAGTGGTGCTCTGTGAACCTGGTGAGGTTCAACAAGGCCAAGTGCAGGGTCCTGCACCTGGGTTGGGGCAGCCCCTGGTGTCAGTACAGGCTGGGGGATGAAGGGGCAGAGAGCAGCCCTGCCGAGAAGGACCTGGGGGAACTGGTGGGGGAAAAGCTGGACATGACCCTGCA